TTATCTTAAGAAAATGTTCATTAAAACTTGAAATCAGTCCATTATGAGATCAATAGCGAAAATCAAACTATTATCTTAAAAGTACTTTTCTTTATCAACATGTCTTTATCTTTTGAACATTACTTGGCCAAAACACTTTAAAACAGGCTAACAAGGATATGGGAAGAATATCCTACCTCTCGAATAGTTATCTTCACGTAGCCCTAGCTCCACTTGTCTTTGGAACTCTAAGTCTTATCGTGCCACTAGCTTCGTCATCAAGACCAACAATTTAGAGTTTATCATTTCCTCTAAACAATCTAATTTAATTATATACAATTGTATCATACTAGCGTACTTTAACTCAAAATTCAAAGTTCATAAACAATTTTTAATTCAAATCATGATTCTTTGAGAATTGGAATTCAATTAAGGGAAATGGAATGGAAACAATGATTAATGTGGCTAATCCACTCACTTTAAGTTCTCAAATGAGGTTAGGTGGGTTCTACATCGAATTTTGGGGTCAAAACATGGTTTTTAAACTGTTTAGGGTCGGATTAGTGTGAACCGGTCAACTGGTAACAGAGGAGTGTAACTCCACCGGTCGGCCGGTTGAATGATGACCGGTCGACCGGTGGGGAGCAGATCAGCCAAGAACAATAGCTCATTCGCGGGGTCCAAGGCCAAAACCTGAAATTTTTTGGTTTAATTCAACATATTCTCAAAAGAAATCAACAAATTCAGGTTCCAATAGGGGTTCAAAGAATCAAAAACCCATTTAAAATCCATTCAAAAATAAATCTAAACCAAAAATCACCAAACTCGACTAAAAACGAGTTCCACAAGGCTAGATCCAAAATTTAAAGAGAGTTTCAAAAAGTTTTACCTTGATCTAGACTTTGATGTTGAAAACTTCTTGGGAATCCTCGTTTTTTGTTTGAATCCGGTTCAAAATCCGCTTAGAGAGAGAGAAGCTTTGAGCGAGGGAGAAAGAGAGAGAGAGAGAGAGAGAGAGAGAGAGAGAGAGAGAGAGAGAGACGTGAGAGAGGGTGAGAGAAAGAGAGAGAGACTGAGAGAACGAGAGAGTGAGAGGGAAAATAAGGGAAAGAAAAGGAAAATAAAAGAAAATAAATGAAAAAGTAATACTGAGGGTGCGTTTGGTTGCAGTGACGAAATGGTAATAGGAATGGTAATGTGAATGGTAATGGAATGGAATTGGAATGTGTTGGAATATAAACTGATTCTTTTGTTTGATTGGAGTTATGGAATCAATACCTGAATGAGGATTATGTTGTTTAGTTGACAACAGAATAGAATGAAAATAAACTGTATTTTGACAAAAATACCCTTTTAATAATCCTAAATAATTTAATATTTTAATTAATTAAAATAGTAAAAAAATAATTTAATTATTGAAAAAAACTTTTTATTTGAAGGATAATAATTTAAAACTATATTTCAATTGTAAAAAAAAAATAATATTTGATAATAGTAAAAAAATAATTTAATTATTGAAAAAAACTTTTTATTTGAAGGATAATAATTTAAAAACTATATTTCAATTGTAAAAAAAAAATATATATTTGATATTTTTATGTAATAGTAAATTATCACAAGCTCAAATATGATAACTTTGGGCATCTACCATGATATTTTACCTGAAAAATAAAACTTTGGCCCCTATCAATAATAAAAATGATAATATATCATTCAACTACATATATAATCCCAAAATATTGTCATATGCCAAGTGAAGCAAGTTTCTAGTTAATACAATTTAACAAAGTGAAGAATAGTTGTTTTCGGGATATTGAAGATGAAGAAGAAAGCTTTTTAACCTATGTAAGTGCAAATACGATTCCTTTATATTTTTCTTATATATACGCTACAATCTATGAGGATATAATTTCAACATATCGTGTACATATAGTGTAACACCCTCCATCTCAACTAGAGGACACCACAATAAGACTTGTCTAGTTAAGTTGGTGGACATTACTTCATTCTATTGATTAAAGAAGAGTTTGAAAGAAAACAAATATTTACATATTATAGCATTAGTAGATACATAGAAGTACTATTAACAACAATTTCAATCAAAAAGATTTTTCTTCATGTTTAGTTTCAAAACATTAGTACTTCATATCATCAAGAGCCCAACAAAAAACATTCTCTCAAAATATCAAAAGTTTATCAAAAGCAACAAAATATCAAAATATCAAAAGCAACATATGAACTATCTGGCAGCAACAAGCAACTCGAGCAACTCCTACTGTTCACCCTCAGCATTTTCTTCATCACAAAAAACTAAATAAGCAATTGCCTAGTAAGTAGCACCCTTAACAGTTTATACCCATTTCAGTCTAAAAACATTTCTAGTCAAAACAGTCCTGGGCCCCGTCAAGTATAAAACATGCTTAGTACTTGATAGGCCGTGAGTTTTCAGAACCTGTTCTTTTCAGTCGAGTGGTTACTCAGCTTTGAAAACCTCGTGCCTCAAGGAATTTCACCACTATATTTTGGGTCCACTGGTCCCTCCTGCATCCCTTGCCTACCCAAATACTAAACCATATTTTACACTTCATTTTAAATTGAAACATAGGGGTACAATAGATTTACCTTGACAAATATGTTCATAAAACAATCATCATCATACAAGTCAGTCAATCCATTTAGCATAGAAAATAATTTCAAACACATACTATTGTTTCTTGTGAAGTTTGAAAACAAGATTTTACTTGAATTCCAATAGTTCTTAGGATAGAGTGGAGAGTGGATCCTTCTTGGTAAAGTTGATGTGCTATAAACCTATCAAATGCACATTATATCCATTTAAGCACAAGAGAACCATTTTGAGAATCACACATGTACAAATTTACAAAGATCCTCTTGATATATAAAAATTAAAAAAAAAAAAAAAACATAAACTTCAATATACAAACTCATTGGTCATTAAAATTTGCAGAGTAAAAATAGACATGACAAAGAAGCGTCCTGCAAAATTTCACTTCATTTGAGGTCCATTTGAGTAGGTTTAAAAATAAGCCAATTCGGCCATCTGTCAGGAAAAAGTCCAGCAGCAGACCTGATTTGGTAAAATTCATTAAAAATTCGTCTTTCAGCCTTTTCCCATGAAAGTGTGACCACAGCATGTTCAAAGTGTCTAGTTTCAATACCCAAAATTTCAGCTTTAAACAACAAGTACTATAAGAGATATTCCACTCGCAATCAGAGGTGTTCAGACAACCAAAACAGAATTTTCAGCTAAGCATTTCATCAAACAAATTGCATACACCTCACTAAAACACATTTGAACAGAGAAAAAATGAACCAAAACTCCTCCAGATCATGTCTTAAATCAGATCAAAGCAAGAGAAACACACACTCAATTCAACAATAACTCACACTAACCAACTAAAAATATGTCTATCTACAAAGAATTTATCTCTAACCAGCGCATAAACAAAAAACCCATGAAAAAAGCATCAAAAAGCATGAAACCACAATTATAATACAAGAAAAACACCTTACCTTAGCTGGTGTACAAGTTGGCCTCTCAAATTTGGGTTTAAACTTCAAATTTCTCAAGTGAAATCAAGGTTTTCTAGGAGGTTTCTCTTAGGTCCGGGTTTTGCCCATAATCAATGATCAGATATTTATCTACCACTTAGAAAATGAGAAGGTGCTTCTGTAGTACATGTAAAGAAACGAATAGAGAACACTAGCGTAGCACCTGAATTCATAAATGGATTATTTTCTCTATCAAGAATTTTTCGCTGATGAAGGGAAAAACTAGCATAGCACCTGAATTCTTATGAAGGGAAACGTGTAAGGCAACGTCGGCGCGAACCTCTTCCTTTCGGTCGGAAATCCGAATCAGACGAGGAGATTGAAACGAAAAGGAGACGTAGAGATTTGGAGGAAGGAAGAAAAGGAATCGCGAAGGAGAGGAGCGGCCGCCTGAGGAGATCCGGTGGAGCTTGATACGAACGAACTCGTCGAGGGAGTAGGGAGCTAGGGCTTTCTCTCTCTCAATCGGGGAGATTTTGGGAAAAAAATGGTTAGGGCTGAATGGAAAGGCCTTTCCTTTGGCTGAACAAGTGAATCACGATTCACTCAAATTGAGTCATTCTGAAGGTAAAAATGAAACCAAATGATGGAATTAGATGGAATAGCCTTTCCTTCTCATTTCATTCCTTCCAACCAAACACATCTGAAGGATAAATAAAAGTAAATGGTAGATGTATGTATTCCCACACACTTTTAGGGTGGAATTGTGAATACTAAAAGTAACTTAAAATTTATTGATTAATTGAAAAAATTAAATTAGACACACTAATAAATCACAATTAGTATAATTAAACATACTTAATTCTTGAGGGCGTTACAGTACTGTAGCAAAACCTATATACTAAATATACACTTAGGGGGCGTTTGGTTCATGGATTAAAACCATATGATTAGAACTATTTTCCATTTACATGTATTTTTTGTGAGAGAAAATACTGTAGCGAATCACGAACCATGATTCGAATCAGGGAACGAATCCATCTATCAAACATCACCTTAAGTTCTTAATTTAAACGAGCGAATCGAACGATTAGATCCCATTTATTTATTAAAAAAAAACTAATTGGAAATCCTTTTATGTGGGATATATTGAGTGAGATTGTAATGCCTCAACCCCCGGTGAGGTCCACCTTAAGGGCTTTATAAGGAAAGAGGTCTTGCGTTCAAGTGTTGGGAGACGCAAAAAAATTTTTGAGAGCCATTAAATGTCTAAAAGGGACAATACGTATGAGTAACGAATATAAGACCCGACTACGACTACGCTGGGGTCCTGCAAGATAGACCTCATGGCAGATTAAGGCGTTACAGAGACTTGCGGGTTTATGTTGGTGTAGATGAGAGTGAAAACTATGATCAATTACAGACAGTATGCAACTTCAAATGCTATAATACTTTTATTCTTTTCTTGAAAAAGCACACAATTACAACTTCTGAGAGACAAACCTTGACTAAACATCGGTTGTCCATGGTCCTCTAATGACCAATCTATATCTAAGTATCCTTTTCTGAGCTTCAAATCTGAATATGGGGTTAACATTTATGTACAATAAATTAACCTCCCACCTGAGTAATACAGTACCTTGCAATACATAAATCTGAGCAGAATACATCTTATTATTATGATCTTAGACTCCTATTCAACATCCCAATACAGGTTCAAGTATCAGTTGACAGAAGTGCAAAGGGAAGCTTTGACGATTCTGTGGAACAAGTAAGCCATCCACATTACATACATAAAATCAGCAGTCCATCTAAAAATGAACTGGTAATTTAGTTAGTACACAAATAAACTATTTAGCGAGCTGGTCAAGCATGGAATCCATAACTTTGGAGACAACTTCAAGAAATGCAGCTTCACTCATGCCAGGAAGAAAGGAGTCGTGGGCTTGGCGCACAATCTCCTCAATATCAGATTCTTTGTTTACATTTTCTCTGCACATAATGCTTCCAATGGCAAAAGGAGTGAGACCTCTTTGTACTCCTTTCTTCAGAAGCATAGTGGAAATACGGAGCGTGCGGGCACACTCAAGAGGAATGTCCCACCCGTAAAACTTCAAAAGGGCAATATCTTGTTCAGCATCTAATGAATTTATGTACTCAATGGTGTTAGGAGAATAAGGTTTCTGAGCCTGTGGCCAGTAAAGCCAATCAAAAGTACAATCTTCAAACTGCAAAGAATAAAGAGAAGTAAACTTGTTAGTAACAGAGGATCCATAGGCAATTACTAGATGTGATAAAATAGTTTATCCAGCTTTTTTGGTAGTCGCAAAAGAACTACAAATTGAGACGTTCAACCTGAACCTTCAATAACAAATTTGCATTTATCACTCCTAAAATGCACCCACATACACATTAAAAGAAATCAATTGCTAGATAAGTTTCATTACTCAAAAACGAAGGTAGTTAAAAAAATGACAAATAAAGTGCCACAAGCAACTAAATAATTAATAAGATTGTAAAGCAATCATGAAGAATAGAAGGGAGAAAATTGTACCTTCTCAGGCAGGCAGTATCCGTGATCAATAGGAATGAGCACAGTTTGACCCTCTTTACCTTTGCTGATCAATACATTCCCAGCGTGCCTGTCTGCATTAGCCATCCTTATATCAAAAACAGTAATCTTATGCACCTCCTCGACAGGGAATGCTCCAGGACCAACGTCCTCACAACTTCCTTCATTCCTCATGAACATCTGCAACGAACCAATCTTATTATTCTTTGGCGCACACTCATACCCTTCAGGATGGTTGAAACCCTTGTGGAAGCATTCAACCATGATGGTCGGAGGCACACCAGCAAAGCCCATCACCTCACCTGACAAGGTGCGAGGTCCGCTTCTTGGATGATCCAATAGGTATGCAGCAACTTCCCTTAATGCTCCTTCTCCTACTCTTGTTCCCCTTTTCAGCCCTTCTCCATTTGATGATACGGGCAAGCCACGGGGATTGTTCATAGCCATGGGCTCCTCATCAGTAGGCTTAAACACAGAAACATAGTCCTGGCCTAATGCATCTTGCATTAGATAAGTTCCTCCAGTTCCCTCAGAGGACCTGATAGGTTCATTGCCTTTCTCCAAACCATCAAATGTAGACTTAAACATATCCCAGATGAGTTGTGGCAATTCGACCTTGGGATTAACAAGAATTGGTTCCAACCAGAAATCTCTATCTCTACAAGGTCGCTTACTTGTTACAACAGGAAGTTCCACAGATCGGTTCTCTCCTTCATTGGTTCCTTTGTCCCTGGTTTTGTAAGGGACTTCAGCCACAACAGAGAGCTCCAAATCCTTCTCAACGGGCTTAGCACGAACTTTTGCAGATTTCTGAACCACCAAGTGAATTGCAGCATCATTGTTCTTACATATATCATCCACAAGCCTCTGATCGTCGAGCTTTTCCCCATTGAAGAAAATCTCTTGATCCTCAAGATCAACAAAGCCTTTCCCTTTCTTCAAAATCCTTTGCTTCAGATACCTTATATTTTGGTACCTATCAATGTGGAATTCAAACTCCTTCCCACAGCTGGTCCTAACCGTGATTAGCAGAAGATCAGAAAGCCTTAGGACCAAATGCAAGACATTCCCACCCGTCACACCATAATCCTTAACGAGTGAGTCATTCCTAGCTAACTCCCTGCCTCCAAACACAAGCTTCTGCTTCTTCACCACGAACCCTTTACACGTCTGGATCCTAAGTTTCACCGACGCAATCGAGTCCGACTCGAGGACACGCATGGGAATGACAGAGCCGGCGACACTGAGGTAAATTAGGATCGATTCACTAGAGCAGTGCCCACGCCGGCTCTCAAAAAAACCAGCGGAATGAACCGATTCTTTGCGAATCGGACTCAAAACATCAACAGACATTTTCGAGACGGTTCTCCCCAAAATTGACCCTAAAAGCCTCGCCTTTTGTCACCGATTTCAAATTACAAGGCCTCTCAATCAAATTGATCAGAGACTCATATTCTAAAATCACAGACAAATGAAAATCAAGAAGAAATCATATACAGACAACACCAACACAACAACAATTAAAAGACCAAAATCCTAAATCCCCAATAAGAATAGAAACCCTCGGGGTTCAAGTTCAAGAACGAACTCGAAAACCTAGACGACACAAGCTCGAAACAAAACCGAAACTTGATTAATCCAATGGATTATCTGGGTTTTGGAATCGAAAACATGCGAATTCTATCAACAATTAGCTAAGGAAAAACTCTCGGAAAATCGGAAATGGATTTTTTTTTTCTCTGAGAGTGTGGATTCTTATCGGAGAGGAAGAATCAAAGGGAAATGTACGAGGAAGGAGTGCTTAAATTCTCAACAGATACCGAGATGGCGAGCAGTTGGCGATGAATTGAGCCGATTTTTTCCATTGTCCGAGATTGGACGGTCTTCGATTTCCAGTTGGTCCGTAATTTTCTCGCCGCGTTTTGCTGCTCCGAGAAAATTGTAGTCAGAGAGAGACAGAGACAGAGGCAGAGAGAGAGAGAGAGAGGAAGCAGAATTGTAACCGTTGGCTTTATAAAGCCTTTTTTTTTTTTTTTACCCATAGCCGTTGTCTTTCGTTTTTGAAATCTAAAACGACGACCTTAGAATGATTGTTAGTTAACGTCCGTTTGACTCGCTTTTTGGTGTGGGGCTTGCGACGACCTTAGAATGATTGTTAGTTAACGTCCGTTTGACTCGCTTTTTGTTGTGGGGATTATCGGATAATAGACAGTAGAATCTAAAATAATCTGTCTGGTCGTAGTTTTACCAAAATGTCCTCAGACTATTTTGCGAGGAGAACTGAAAATCGAGTCGTCAGATGTAATTAAGTTAAAGATAAAGTTGTAAATTTCGTTTTAGGGTGAGTAATGGAGTTAGCTAATTCGTCTTAAAAAGGAAAAATAATTCATTAGTTGAGGTAATAATAATAACATAAAATTAAATCCATATGTAAAGCTCATATTGTGTGATTTAAAGTGTACTATGTCATTCTCTGTAAAATTAAATATTATACCTATTAAGTTTTAAGTATAGATATTATGATCAATCACCTTAATGTTACCGTTAAATTAAAATTTTAACACACACTTATAAAGGAAAAAAAAAACTAATTTTAATGTTAGATTACTTTCAAAAAAAATTTATACACGTATATTACATTAATACCGCCACACGTATACTCTAATTAACATTGTTGAGTCTAATAAGATAAAAAGGAATCAATTTAACGTATAAAAATGTCATTACCGTCAAAAGCAGAGAGAAATATAATAATTAGATATAGTGATATACATACTGTGATAACATAAACTAGCAATTACAAGTACAAAAGCATGTGTAAAGTTGCAAAGCCTCCTCATTTCTATGCTCTGTAAAGCTTTTGTTTTGGAATCAAAAGGGCCAAGTTAGTCGCCGTTGCACTCGAGAAGGGTCCCCAAATCTACATTGCATATCTGCAAAGGCATTCAGCATTGTTTTCGCTTTGTGGAAATCGAGTTTCTTTTATTTCAGTTGTTTTCTCATGTCTCAAAGAATCGACTCTTTTTCAGTCACATAATTAAGATATTAATCCCCCCTTGCCATCATTGAGGCCACTTGAAGTAGCTATGGTACATAAGGAGGAGGGTAAAATTGTCTTCTACATTTTATTATCTATTATCTCACAATATACAACGTTATGAATATATATATATATATATATATATCAACACGATAAAGGATAATTTTGATTATGTAACACATGGCTTTCTATTTTGTCCTTTCGTCACAAAAGTAAGGTGAATCTCATGTGTCGCTTATTAACAAAAAAAATACGTCTAATCTCTAACTATTGAATTTAAACAAACTCCATTCTAATAGTACATCGGAAAAAATCCATATACTAAAAATGAACTCGTTATATTCAACAAATCATTGCTAGCTTTTAAAATATCAGCTCCATATGCTATGTTATAAACATGATTTACTGTAACAACTTTCTATCCACATTTTATTTAATTTCCAGTATGGGTGGTGTTACAAAACTTAAAACCGAAATCTATAGTGCTTGTGTTTTAATTTGTAATAATGTGGTACAAGTTCTGAAAAATAATATATTATCCAAATAATCGGTGTATATATCCTTGAATATTATTGCTTTGATAATGCCTTGTTTTTCTCTAGTGACCACACTCGAAAGGAAGGTTCCTAACCTTTTGAAAAGAATTAAGAGCAGGTACACTGAACGTGCAAGGGCTCTTATTATGAAGTCATGGGATAATGGTTTTAGTTTGCAACTCAACTCTTGTTTATTTCACCGATTTGAGTTTAGAATTTGAGTTTTATTACAGTAAAAAGCTCTCATAAACAGTCGCATCTAACTTTTTTACTACAGTAAAAAACTCTCATATAAAATCACATTTCAATTCAAATTAACGAACTAAACGGACCCTAAAATAAATGTATTTGAGTACATGTCCATAACTTTATTAAACAGCATTATCGATATGCTCAATTATGAAGCAAAAAAAAAAAGGGGGGGGGGGGGGTTTTGTCATTGAGAAAAAAAAAAAAAAAAGGGGGGGGGGGGGGTAAGATCCGTGGGACTGAGATCTTTGATTGCTTTAGTGGGTTACATATAGTTTTTTATTATGAGGAAAAACCAAGCCGAAAGTTAATAATTGATGATAAAACAAAGAAATGAATGATATGCCTTCTGGGTCATGTTTAGCACTATAATCACTCTCCATGTGGGCAACAGGCCCTACGTCCCATGCCTAAATACCGGTCAGAGAAAAGAAGGGTAAAAATTATTTCTGATTAATAATTATCTCGGTTTGAATTGGGTCAGGATATATCCAATACAAATTGAGTTGATACGTAAGATAAATAATAAATTTTATCCACAATTCCACTCATCTCTGCCGAAATATGGAATATTTTTCATTATAAATTAAAACTAATGTGAAATACTGATTCATGATGGGGCTCCACTTTCATCCGGATTTATTTATGTTAGAGTGTGTAATATTTTTCTATTATAAAAACATGGTTTGTTCTCTTTAAAAAAAAAAAAAAAAAACATGTTTTTTTTTTCTGAAATATAAAAGGAATGTGTTTTTTTAAAATTATAGAGTAAATCTTATTTTCTCCTCATAAAACATATACTATATAACTATAGTCCCAATTTATTTCATAAACTCGAAAAAGTCCTGCTTTATTCTTCGAACTAAATAAAAAATAGACTAAAATATCCCTTCAGCATTACATACGGAGTAATGGATGACATTTCTAACATTTCGAATGAAAAAAAAAAGGAGATTTTTTATTTAAGGAAGATAGTGTAAAAGTAATGAGACAAAATTAAAAACCCAGGCAAAAGAAGAAGATCATACTTACTGTGTTTTTCATGTGATTTTTTTTTTTCTTATATATTTTGCTGTTAGGTTTTTTTTATGTGATTGTGACACAATTCACCTAAGAATTATAGTTTTTTTTATGTGATTGTGACACAATTCACCTAAGAATTATACAAGAAAGATGCTCATAATTCAAGTCCCACTGTATTCCTGCCCGTTTGAAAACCATACCAAATAGAAATATATGTCTCGTTCATTTTACCAATTTGAGTTTCAAATTCAAGTTTTGTTACAGTAAAAAATTCTCACAAACAGTCACATCTAACTTTTTTACTACAATAAAAAATTCTCACATAAAATTACATCTTAACTCAAATTAAAAATTCAAATCAGCAAACTAAACGAGTCCATAATATGATTAGAATTTAAAAGTTATTTTTGTGGATAACAAAAATGTCAAAGTTCTGACGCTCCAAAAATAGGAGTAGCCGTTGAAAGAGGTGTTTTGACACCGTTTTCACTTTTCAGTGGGCCAGTGGGGACGGTTTCTAACAGGCGTTAATTAAACTGTGAGTCTCCGACAAGAGACTCAAGTCAACCTTGACCGTTGGGTTGCACTACCAGTAATATAAGACGTTTGGTTCATGGATTAGAATCATGAGATTATAACTATTTTTGATTTACGTGTATTTTTTGTAAGAGAAAACACTGTAGCAAATCATGAACAATGATTCAAATCATGGTATGAATCCTTCAACCAAACGTCATTACTATATTATGGCCTTCAAATTAATGTGTTTAAATTAAAAAAAAAATTAATGCGTGTTTAAGTTTTTCCTTTCACTTTCTTTTTTTTCAAAGAAAATACTTTTTTCTTTCCACTTATTTTTTAGAGAAACAATGGTTGCTGTAGCGTTAGTCTAGTAAAGATGGAATTGTATTTAAAATAAAAAATAAAATAAAAAATAAAATAAAAAAAACATGTTACCTATGAGAAGGATGGGTGATAAATTCATGTGTGAATAGTAAATTTTGATATTTGATAACAAATCACTTTTTTAATGTAAAACTTTTTATTGTTAAATTTGATATATAAATTAGTATAGCATTTGAATTATTTTAGAGTAAATAGAATTAACATTTTAAATACATTACTTCCACTCTCTCTCTCTTTTTTTTTTTTTGGGGTGTCAAATCTCACATTAGCATTGGTATTAGCATTGTAAATCATCTAAGCCTGTTCTTATTCAAAATCTACTTCTTTTAAATTGATGTTATCTGTAGATTCTAAATTAAAATGCTATAAAAATTGACATTAAAATTTTGATACCTATGCATAGAGTTAAAACCGTGAGACCAATAAAAAGCGTTATGCTGAAACAAAATATTCTTGCCCAAGTAAAAATAATGCTTTCCTATTACGGTTCTATTCATGTTATAGTTATAACCTGTTTACATGCTTGCTCTTTTTCTAAATACTATTACATTTTGTATTAGCCCATTTTTTTTAAGTATTGTTTCTGTGAAATAAATTTTTACCACATACTAATTTATTCAAAATTTATTCTATTTTTATTCCGTCTAGACAAATGTATTTTTCTCATTCTTTCAACTAAAGGATATTTTGCACACTTTTTCCTTAAACTTGAATATTAGAAACTTGCCACTTAAACTTCTAATTTTGACAAAATTTCCCCTTTAACTTGCAAACTATTGTAATTTGCTCTGTTTTATCAATTTTGCTATGAATTTTTGTTAAATTTAAGGGATTGAAGGTTGGAGAATTGAGAGATTAGTGTCACAATTTAGAGTGAAATGTTAGAATTTTTTGTCGAAAGTGTTTTTTTATTATTAATTTAACACAAATGTCATCAAAATGAAGCACACTACAACAATTTTATAAGTTAAGAGACAAATTATCAGTTAAAGATTTAAAGAGTAAATTATCATAACCCTACAAATTTAGGGGTAAATGTACAAAATACCTTTAACTAAATAAGAGAAAAAATAATTTCCTCAAATTAAAAGAGAGAAAGAGCTAAAAAGCATCTTTCTAAAAATGTTTCTGGTAAATAACATATTTCAAAAGAAGCAATACATATTTACAATAAATAATTCAATTATAAGGCATGTTTACGGAAAATTTACCATATATATGTGCTTCGTGGTATTTACCATAACTATTTTAATCTCATTAGTGCCCCTAAATTTTAGTGTTAATCCCATATTATCTTTTAAACTGCGAAAATTCTCATTTTACCTTATGAATTTTAAAATTGTCATATTCAAGTCCTTTTGTAAGAGTTTATGTTAAAATTAGACAGAAAAAGTGGGGGGTTAAGTGTGACCATGTGATTTTCATCTGTTTATTTATAATAAAAATTCAATTAGAAAGACCACGTGATTGTATTACTCTAATTTTTTTATTTATTTTTAACAAAAATTATAACAAAAGAAGTTAAGTGAGAATTATTTAAAGTTTAGAAGAATAATGTGAGAGTTTTTAAAATTTGATATGTAAATTGAGAATGACATTAAAGTTCAAGCGACACCAATGATAATAATCCTTTTAAAAAAATGACCTATCTTCTATAATTTTTGAAATGAGTAATCTTAACAAATACTTTTTGAAAGTGCATGGGTCAGGATTTGTACATTTTACTCTTAAATTATAATCTTTTTTGTTAAATAATTATACTAATAAAAGAATATTTATAAAAAATAAATGGTAAAGGTGTAAATTTTATATTTTTTTTCTTTTGAAATTAAAATGGAGAACATATTTTGGGCCTCAACCATCCCCACCTACGCTTGAGTTGGGTTCATAGTTCCATAATAAAAGGCCCGCGCTTAAAGTTGGCCACCTTAAGTCCTTAACTGCCACCTTACGCGCCAAAAGTTGAAAATCTCCTCTCTCTCTCTCCCAGAAACAATGGAAGTTAGTCTTCTTGTTTCCCTCATCACCATCCTCATCTCCTCCTTTTTTCTCCAACCAACAGCTCTCCAAATCCCTCAAGAACCCATCGGTTTAGCCGGCCCCGCGATTCTACGGCCTTCTTCTTCGGCGGCCTCTTCGAATCCTGCAACTCGCTCAGTCCTGCAAACTCCTCCTCTGGCCCCTGCGTTGTTCGTCATAGGCGACTCCTCCGTCGACTGCGGGACCAACAATTTCCTCCCGACCCTCGCCCGAGCCGACCGCCTTCCCTACGGCCGCGATTTCGACACGCACCGCCCCACCGGCCGGTTCTCCAACGGAAGAATCCCGGTTGATTATCTTGGTAAGATATCTGCTTTCTTGATTTCGTTTCCCTGTCTGAGTACTGGAAAAGGGAATGAAAACAAAGGGAAAGTTTCTCTTTTTTATGTTTGACGAAATTGGCTTTGTCATATTTCTTGGTTTCTTTTTTGTTTTCTTGCTGAAAGATAAGTATAGAAAAGTGAATAAAATGTGGATAAAGCCTTTGAAAAATCCCTCGTGTGGGAATTTTTTCCAAGGAATTGAAGAAGTCAATAAATTTTTCATGGAATTCTTGAACGAAGCTCATGTACTGCGTTTTCTTTAACTAAACTTTATGGTTAATTAGAGAATCTGGGTATTTTGGAAACTCACATTTGAATATGTTCTTCTAAGATGCATAATGTGTTTAATGAAAACTTGGTTAGCTACAAAATTTCAATTTTGACTTTAAATTTGTTTTTAATTCGTTATTAGCACTTCGTCTTGGGCTTCCTTTTGTTCCAAGCCATCTTGGGCAATCTGGAAGTGTAGAAGATATGATTCATGGAGTGAATTATGCATCTGCTGGAGCTGGAATAATCTTCACAAGTGGCTCAGAATTGGTATGGTGGATTTCTTTCTTTCTATTGTTTTTTCAATTTTTTTTTAAGACGGGGTTCTAAAATGTAAAATTTTGAGACTTTTTTTATGGGGTGAGTAATTTTAGTTTTTGTGATCTTTTGTAGGGTCAACGCATTTCCTTGACACAACAAATTCAGCAGTTCACAGACACACATCAGAAGTTCATGCTGAGTATGGGAGAGCAAGATGCAGCTGATCTAATCTCTAGCTCAGTGTTTTATATCTCCATTGGAATCAATGACTACATACACTACTATCTTCGAAATGTTTCCGATGTCCGGAATCTCTATCTACCATGGGCTTTCAACCAGTTCTTGGCCTCTATAATGAGGCAGCAAATCAAGGTGATGTCACAATCTTAATGTTCTTCTAGTTATGTTTAGTCCCTAGATAAATTGTTTGTCACATTGGTCTTGATTTTATTTCTGCAGAACTTGTATAACTTAAATGTGAGGAAAATGGTTGTCATGGGGCTGCCACCTATAGGTTGTGCTCCTCACTACCTGTGGCAGTACAAAAGCAGCAGCGGTGAATGCATCGAAGAGATTAACAACATGGTAATGGAGTTGAACTTCGTCATGAGGTACACGATCGAGCAGCTCGGTAGGAAGCTTCGGTATTCGAGTATAATCTTCTGTGATGTGTTTGAAGGTTCCATGGATATACTAAAGAACCATGAACGTTATGGTAAGACCCTTTGATTAGTCTATTTTGCACTGTAAAATATAAATCTATCAGTTGTGTCCTGATCTTATGTGTCATATGTTTTCTTTTCTCAGGTTTCAATGTCACTGCTGATGCTTGTTGTGGATTGGGAAAGTATAGAGGTTGGATTATGTGTCTGGCACCAGAAATGGCTTGTGGAAATGCTTCTAATCATATCTGGTGGGACCAGTTCCACCCTACCGACGCAGTCAACGAGATTCTAGCTGAAAATATATGGAACAGCCTGCACACAAAAATGTGCTTTCCCATGAACCTGAAGGAGATGATAACTAAGAAGAGGGCCTAATGACCCCAATTGAGAAGTTTCAGAAACTTGTACATACTTTGATCTAGCAAGGCAAAAGGTCATGATATTCATTTTGTTACAAATCTTGTGATTCAGATACAATGAGATTAAAGTGTAGGCCAGTTTGGTAGTATGACTGAGAAAGTAAAGTCTGAAGTCCTTATGAGATTCTTTCTCAGCCTTTTGTAGTTTTTCACTTTTGGTAATGCAATGTAGTATTTCTGAGATTCTTTCTCAACCTAAAGTGTAGGCCAGTTTGGTAGTATGACTGAGAAAGTAAAGTCTGAAGTCATTATGAGATTCTTTCTCAGCCTTTTGTAGTTTTTCACTTTTGGTAATGCAATGTAGTATTTCTGAGATTCTTTCTCAACCTTTAAAGTTTAGCTGTTAGTGATGTCTTCTACGTCTGGTTTCAGCACAAAACTGGGAAATGCAAATGTAATGTCCCTGCAAGAAATAAAGAGTTGGTCAACTAAGATAAACATATAGTTTTAGATGCAGTTCATAGTAATGTACTAGAAGATTAGAAACTGTTTATATCCCAAAAGAAGTTCGGTTTAATTGAATTCATGAAGAGGTGATTCTGCAGTATAATGGGATTGTTAGTATAAAAAACTATCGTTGAACCGCTTCCTAAAAGCTTAAGTTTTTCAGAAAATGATTAAGTAACATGATATGAGAGTAGGAGGTTCTGAGTTCAGACTCCCTGTAAATACGCTCTCCAGAATTCTCCTCACATGCTTTAATATGTTTCGGGTTTATACTTAAATTGTCTTGTGCTTCAACAATAACTTTTGTCAAAGTTTGAATATTGGTGATGAGAAAGAGGAAAAAAATTGTACAGACAGTGTGGGAATTACCTCAAATATGGAATTGTCATGTTCTTCAATAAGGATGGATTTTGAGCCACTAATTCTCTCCACTCTTCCATATCAATCTTTCCATCTCTCTTTGAATCAGCTTCCTCAAACGTCTGTGAAGTTACAAAGCACATTGTCAATTAACTGCAAAACATGATTAACTAGGGGGCTACTTGATTGCTTTTATTTTGCAAACATCACCTTTGTAATGATTTCTTCAACAATTTCATCAGGAAGGATCAAGTTTGACTCTTTGAAAAGCGCCAAGATTATCTCCTTGATCTTTACATCAATCCAAATTAAAAAAGAAAAAAGAAAAACAAATAGTTTCCATGCTATAAAATTCTTGGGCCATAATAGAATTGATGTTTATGTTTTCATGCCTACTCTTTTACCTCCTCACGCTCTATGAAGCCGTTTTGCTGTAAATCATATAGTTGAAATGCACCTACCACAACCAATTTGGAAATTTAGTACAATGGTTATTAGCAAGAAGAATAAATATTGACAAGAAATCCATACGTGCAGCCTTTTCTGCTTGAGGTGTTTCTGGATGAAAGACACTCAGACATCGAACGAACTCTCCAAATTCGATCACCCCGTCTTGTTTCGAATCGAACAATTGAAAGATCTATGTATTAGATGACCACAAACACATTAAAAATGGTCTCAAGAAAGAAGCATCAAACAAGAGTGTTCTAGCATGCCACAAAAAGTACAAGAAATTATGTGCATTAACTAAGGCAAAAAACTGCTGGAATAGCTCAGTTGGTTAGAGCGTGTGGCTGTTAACCACAAGGTCGGAGGTTCAAGCCCTCCTTCTAGCGTTTTTTTTTTTTTCATTATTTCTTATTTTATTTTTATTTTTATATTTTTGTTTTTTCTTCCTCACCCTGTCTGCTAGAAGACTTTGTTTCTTGCTGTTCCCAAATAAACCAAGCTGAAACTCTTCCTGAAAAATCAAGATCAATCTCAGAATATGAGTTCCATCTAATGAAAATGAAACTGTATATATACATGTATATAGATATATGATATATATATATATATATCTCTTTTAAGAGGGACTAAAACAGTCAAGCTTTCACTATATATTAGCAAAATTTACAAATTTAATCTTAGAAATTGCCTAAAAGATTAACAGACTGTCATGCATTTATGTACATAACGATATAGCATTATATAACAGATTATGCAATGTATTACACATAATCTTTCTTTCCTAAACTTACTTTGCTTATTAGCCCATCATCAACTATGGAACTGCTTATCTTCTTGAACAGCTCATACAAAATCTCAACCTCGTCAACACTAACTGCAAGAATATATATAATTAATTAATAATAAAGAAAACCAATTTCAAGAACTTCTGTTTTAAGTAAACTCCAATGTAGCTAGCAAAATAAAACCCAAAATAAATAAATAAATCTTACAACAGGTTTGAGATGACAGAACTGCAGGGTCTTCATATGATCTAAGCCTCTGCTTCGTGCAAAGACAGCCCATAATGTATGAAAAAGAGGTTTCTTTAAGAGAAAATATTTTGTAACATAAATAAAGGTTTAGAGTTTTTTTTTTTCCCTTCTCTTTTTTCTTTTTTTGGGCCATTTACAACCACACGAGACTTGAGAGAATGTGAGCCTGTACAAAAAGGGTGCTAATTAACGTATCTAACTTTTTCTTAATTTGCTAATTAACGTGCGAACTTTTGACTTGATTCACGTTTAGAACTATTTATGAAACTCTAATGACGCATGCTTATCATTCGATGTATAAGGTTGAGGTATGGAACTCTGCAGAAAACAAGGTGCGTAATACTTTATATATCTTCTTAATTAGGCTAATTAGAATAAGAATAAGAATTTTGATTGTAAGGTTTCCAGATAATAAGCTAGAGAAATAGCATATGTTCCAACAATGTTCGAAATTTTAAATAGTACCCTTTTTATCTTTTTTGTTTATTATGTTTATGTTTTTTTCTTTTCTTTTCCTTATTTTTTTCCCGCTAGTTTGGACTTGCTGTATATTGCTTCATTGCCTGACATGTCAAGAGTCTTCGTATATGTTTAAAGGTGGTCGTTGGCACAACTGGTGGCACTCGGCACCGCAACCGCATAAATGATTACTATTTATAACAAGAAGCTTAGTATTAAATAAAAGGATAAAAAAAATAGCTTTAAGCATAAGTATGAAAAGAGTTCATATTGTTAGGGGCGAATTGAGAAAGCGGGGGTGTGACGGAACTAATGAGGTGTGGGACAAGTGTTTGGTATGAAGATTCGTGTCATAGTTCGTGACTCGTTACAGTGTTTTCTCTTATAAAATACACACGTAAATCGAGTGATTTTGAATTATGATTCTGAATCCATAAACCAAACGTTCATAAAGAGATCTAAAATTTTAGAGTTGAGGAGAGACAAAATACAATTTTTATAAAATTTGATATAAAAAATAAAGAAAAAAATTTGGGTGGGCGGCCGTCCATCCTCCTTTATAGGTGGCTCCGCCACTAATAGTGCTTACACTAAAAGTTTAGTTCAAATTATATACATTGTGATACAATAACACATAGTAATTTGACTAGACACCAACAATATTGGTCTTGGACAAAATGGCTCCATGCCATCATTATCATGCATCAACGTTAAAACTAATCGTCCAATATTATGATCAAGAACACCTTAAGCTTAACCAAATTTTGTTAAGTTAATATGGAATTAAATTTACAAGAGACAGTCTTAACATTCATGAAACTACAGGGCAAAATGTGACATTTCCACATAACACAATGGATGATATGTTATTCTACATCACGGTGTTTCTTTTAAGCACTCTTTTGAATAAGAGCATCCCTATTCATCTTCATGATATTAAAACTCCACTATTCAAATGAAATGAGTCTCGTTAGGTGGATAAGTAGAACTTAGTAGGAATCATCATTTTATGAGTGAACGGTTTTATCCCCACGTGAATGAATACCATTTTTGTTTGAATAAACATCAGGTATATAAGTCAGACAAATAGAACATCCCCACATGTGACTTCTACTTTTGGTATAATTTAAGCCTTGTTCATTTTACGAATTCGAGTTTTACTACAGTAAAAAGCTCTCAGAAACAGTCACATCTAACTTTTTCACTACAGTAAAAAATTCTCACATAAAATCACATCTTAATTCAAATTAAAAACTCGAATCAGCGAACTAAACGGGCCTTCACCAATAAATCTGCAACACCCTGCTTCACCATAACAGAATCGAAAGGAACTATAATTGTCCCATCATTCTTGTCATTTTGTTGTTATGCAAACTTAAGATGGTTTATCTAAATCTTGGTTTTTTGTTTTTTTTTCTGTCCCTTATTTATTTCTGGGAATATCACCTATATTACACGTAACAAATGTTGTTTTTGGTGCATATGCAATGTTTAAATTCCAAAAAAATGGCCCGAGTGTCTTCAATTTGGATTTTGGAATCTGATTCTTAAATTTATTTGCGGTGGAAAAAGGATCGAGGAATTGAAGCTAGGTTCTCTTTAAACATTCCTTTAACAAGGAGAATTGATGATTGAAGAAGAGCTTGTATATTCCTCTAAATCTGGAATTATATGGTGGAAAATTGTATGCCCATATTTTCATGCCGTTCAATTCCTCAATAATCAACTCAATTTGGCGAGTGAGAATATTAAAAAACATGACGTAGACAACACGGGTTAGAGAAACAGGAAATTTTGGGGCATCTTATTCGTGGGATTATTTGGTTATGTTATGCATTCAAAGGCCGCTTGAGGTGGTACGTACATGTCCAACGTAGACCGGTAGAAGCACCAGTTCGTGCTTGAAAGAACATTCTTATACCTAATACTAGGAGAGGGAGAGGTAAATCAAGAATTATGTGGACCGAAGTCGTTAGAAAAGACATTCTAGATCTAGGCATTCAGAAAAGTTTAATTTCGAATAAAGTTGTGTGAAAAAATAAAATCCATATAGCCGATCCTAATTAATTGGGATTAAGGCTTGGTATTATTGTTGTTGCATGCATTCAAAGAGCATACTCTAGATATTTGGATTTTGAGGGGAAAAAAAATGTTAAAGATGCATCAGTCAGTGCTTAAAAGTTTAAAGCTAAATACATATAACTTACCCACGTAAT